AAGACCTCGACCGACACCTTGTCCTGCGGCTCGTAACACGACAAGTAAGTGATGTCAATATTAGGTACATCAATCACGTCAAGATGCCACCTTCAAGGACACACACAAAATGAACAAGAGTCGGTTAATTATTCCATTCAGAAAAACATTCATCTATACTCATTTATTATTTTTTAAATTTAGTAAACAAAGGAAGAAGTATATACCTTAGATATAGATTCAAGAAATATATTTTAATATCTATGTTTATTACTTATATCAAAGATAACGCATAACCAGTTTCAATACATCCCGTGGCCTGGTAGGCCACTGTCTCGCCTCACACACTGAGTGTCCGTGGGTGGCATCCTGGGGGACAACAAAGAACCGCAATGGAACTAAGACAAGACAGTCGGCGACGATGCACTAAGTTCTTCTGGGTAACTAACCCTCCAGGTTAAAATTCCGAACAAGATGTTATCAGTATACAGGACTAATTAAGTTGTCAAGCTCTATCCTTAACCACCGTATATTACAGTGACTTTAATAATGTTTATCTGTACAAGTACATGACACCTGACATCACATGATACAACTATGACAGACATAACTGGTTCTGTAGAGCATTTCTGGCAACTTAAGTTAGTCTCGTCCCCCCAGGATGCCACCCATACCAGACGACTAACACCCAGGTACCTACTTACTGGTAGGTGAACATGAGCAGCAAATGTAGGGAAACGTGTCCTTAACGTTTCTCCCGTGCCGCGATCGATTCCCGGACCCCCAGTGTGTGTACTGAGGACGCTACCAACCAAGCCACAAGGATGTGGCTGATGCCAGAGATAAAGTGCTGAGAGAGAACATATGCACAGAATGGAAAGACATATTTTATAACAAAATAGGTATACAAAGAAGCCTCGAGATAAAACCTATATAAAAAAAAGGTACTTTCTCGCCAATATTAACCTAAATTTATATTATTTTCAGTAAATTCTGGGCTGCAACTGTATCTCGCATATGTGTGTGTGTGTGTGTGTGTGTGTGTGTGTGTGTGTGTGTGTGTGTGTGTGTGTGTGTGTGTGTGTGTGTACGGGGGAACAATAGCCAACCCTCACTGTAAACAACAATCCAACCCACCTTCACTGTAAATAACAATCCAACCCACCCTCACTGTAAATAACAATCCAACCCACCCTCTGTAAATAACAATCCAACCCACCCTCACTGTAAATAACAATCCAACCCACCCTCTCTGTAAATAACAATCCAACCCACCCTCACTGTAAATAACAATCCAACCCACCCTCACTGTAAATAGCAATCCAACCCACCCTCACTGTAAATAACAATCCAAAACCCCCCTCACTGTAAATAACAATCCAACCCACCCTCTGTAAACAACAATCCAACCCACCCTCTCTAAATAACAATCCAACCCACCCTTCACTGTAAATAACAATCCAACCACCCTCACTGTAAATAACAATCCAACCCACCCTCACTGTAATAAACAATCCAACTCACCCTCACTGTAAATAACAATCCAACCCACCTCACTGTAAATAATCCAACCCACCCTCTCTGTAAACAATCCAACCCACCCTCACTGTAAAAAAACAATCCAACACCACCCTCTCTGTAATAACAATCCAACCCACCCTCTCTGTAAACAACAATCCAACCCATCGTCACTGTAAATAACAATCCAACCCACCTCACTGTAAATAACAATCCAACCCACCCTCACTGTAAAACAATCCAACCCACCATCTGTAAATAACAATCCAACCCACCCTCACTAAATAACAATCCAACCCACCCTCACTGTAAATAACAATCCAACCCACCCTCACTGTAAAAAACAATCCAACTCACCCTCACTGTAAATAACAATCCAACCCACCCTCTGTAAATAACAATCCAACCCACCCTCACTGTAAATAACAATCCAACCCACCCTCACTGTAAATAACAATCCAACCCACCCTCTCTGTAAATAACAATCCAACCCACCCTCTGTAAATAATCCAACCCACCCTCACTAAATAATCCAACCCACCCTCACTGAAAAATAACAATCCAACCCACCCTCACTGTAAATAACAATCCAACCCACCCTCTGTAAATCCAACCCCCCCTTTGTAAATAACAATCCAACCCACCCTCTGTAAATAACAATCCAACCACCCTCTCTGTAAAAAACAATCCAACCCACCCTCTGTAAATAACAATCCAACCCACCCTCACAAAATAATCCAACCCACCCTCACTGTAAATAACAATCCAACCCACCCTCACTGTAAATAACAATCCAACCCACCCTCTGTAAATAATCCAACCCCCGCTTTGTAAATAACAATCCAACCCACCCTCTCTGTAAATAACAATCCAACCCACCCTCTCTGTAAATAACAATCCAACCCACCTTCTGTAAATAACAATCCAACCCACCCTCTCTGTAAATAACAATCCAACCCACCATCTCTAATAATCCAACCCACCCTCACTGTAAATAACAATCCAACTCACCCTCTCTGTAAATAACAATCCAACCCACCCTCTCTGTAAATAACAATTAAACCACCCTCTCTGTGAACAACCCAAAAACCCACCCTCTGTAAATAACAATCCAACCCACCCTCTCTGTAAATAACAATCCAACCCACCCTCTGTAAATAACAATCCAACTCACCCTCTCTGTAAATAATCCAACCCACCTTCTCTGTAAATAACAATCCAACCCACCCTCTGTAAATAACAATCCAACCCACCCTCTCTGTAAACAATCCAACCCACCCTCACTGTAAATAACAATCCAACCCACCCTCTCTGTAAATAACAATCCAACCCACCCTCTCTGTAAACAACAATCCAACCCACCGTCACTGTAAATAACAATCCAACCCACCCTCACTGTAAATAACAATCCAACACCACCCTCACTGTAAACAATCCAACCCCCCATCTGTAAATAACAATCCAACCCACCCTCACTAAATAACAATCCAACCCACCCTCACTGTAAATAACAATCCAACCCACCCTCACTGTAAATAACAATCCAACTCACCCTCACTGTAAATAACAATCCCACCCACCCTCTGTAAATAACAATCCAACCACCCTCACTGTAAATAACAATCCAACCCACCCTCACTGTAAATAACAATCCAACCCACCCTCTCTGTAAATAACAATCCAACCCACCCTCTGTAAATAACAATCCAACCCACCCTCACTAAATAATCCAACCCACCCTCACTGTAAATAACAACCCAACCCACCCTCACTGTAAATAACAATCCAACCCACCGTCTGTAAATAATCCAACCCCCCCTTTGTAAATAACAATCAACCCACCCTCTGTAAATAACAATCCAACCCACCCTCTCTGTAAATAACAATCCAACCCACCCTCTGTAAATAACAATCCAACCCACCCTCACTAAATAATCCATCCCACCCTCACTGAAAATAACAATCCAACCCACCCTCACTGTAAATAACAATCCAACCCACCCTCTGTAAATATCCAACCCCCCCTTTGTAAATAACAATCCAACCCACCCTCTCTGTAAATAACAATCCAACCCACCCTCTCTGTAAATAACAATCCAACCCACCCTCTGTAAATAAAAATCCAACCCACCCTCTCTGTAAATAACAATCCAACCCACCCTCTGTAAATAACAATCCAACCCACCCTCACTGTAAATAACAATCCAACTCACCCTCTCTGTAAATAACAATCCACCCACCCTCTCTGTAAATAAACAATTAAACCCACCCTCTCTGTGAACAATCCAACCCACCCTCTGTAAATAACAATCCAACCCACCCTCTGTAAATAACAATCCAACCCACCCTCTGTAAATAAAAAATCCAACTCACCCTCTCTGTAAATAATCCAACCCACCCTCTCTGTAAATAACAATCCAACCCACCCTCTGTAAATAACAATCCAACCCACCCTCTCTGTAAATAATCCAACCTACCCTCTGTAAATAATCCAACCCACCCTCTGTAAATAACAATCCAACCCACCCTCTCTGTAAAAACAATCCAACCCACCCTCTGTAAATAATCCAACCCACCCTCTCTGTAAATAACAATCCAACCCACCCTCTGTAAATAATCCAACCACCCTCTGTATATAACAATCCAACCCACCATCTCTGTAAACAATCCAACCCACTCTGTAAATAACAATCCAACCCACCCTCTCTGTAAATAACAATCCAACCCACCCTCTGTAAATAACAATCCAACCCATCCTCACTGTAAATAATCCAACCCACCCTCACTGTAAATAATCCAACCCACCCTCACTAAACAATCCAACCCACCCTCACTGTAAATAACAATCCAACCCCCCTCACTGTAACAATCCAACCCACCCTCTCTGTAAATAACAATCCAACCCACCCTTTGTAAATAACAATCCAACCCACCCTCTCTGTAAATAACAATCCAACCCACCCTCTCTTTTAAATAACAATCCAACCCACCCTCTGTAAATAACAATCCAACCCACCCTCTGTGAACAATCCAACCCACCCTCTGTAAATAACAATCCAACCCACCCTCTCTGCAAATAACAATCCAACCCACCCTCTGTAAATAACAATCCAAACCCCACTCTTTGTAAACAATCCAACTCACCCTCTCTGTAAATAATCCAACCCACCCTCTCTGTAAATAACAATCCAACCCACCCTCTGTAAATAACAATCCAACCCACCCTCTGTAAATAATCCAACCTACCCTTCTGTAAATAATCACAACCCACCCTTTTGTAAATAACAATCGAACCCACCCTCTCTGTAAATAACAATCCAACCCACCCTCTCTGTAAATAACAATCCAACCCACCCTCTGTAAATAATCCAACCCCCCCTCTGTAAATAACAATCCAACCCACCCTCTGTAAATAATCCAACCCACCCTCTGTAAATAACAATCCAACCCACCATCTCTGTAAACAATCCAACCCACTCTGTAAATAACAATCCAAACCCACCCCTCTGTAAATAACAATCCAACCAACCCTCTCTGTAAATAACAATCCCAAACCCACCCTCTGTAAATAATCCAACCCACCCTCTCTGTAAATAACAACCCAACCCACCCTCTCTGTAAATAACAATCCAACCCCACCCTGTAAATAACAATCCAACCCACCCTCACTGTAAATAACAACCCAAAACCCACCCTCACTGTAAATAACAATCCAACCCACCCTCTCTGTAAATAACAATCCAACCCACCCTCTGTAAATAACAATCCAACCCACCCTCACTGTAAATAACAATCCAACCCACCCTCACTGTAAATAACAATCCAACCCACCCTCACTGTAAATAACAATCCAACCCACTCTGTAAATAATCCAACCCACCCTCTCTGTAAATAACAATCCAACCCACCCTCACTGTAAATAAACAATCCAACCCACCCTCACTGTAAATAACAATCCAACCCACCATCACTGTAAATAACAATCCAACCCACCCTCTGTAAATAACAATCCAACCCACCCTCACTGTAAATAACAATCCAACCCACCCTCTCTGTAAATAACAATCCAACCCACCCTCACTGTAAATAACAATCCAACCCACCCTCTCTGTAAATAACAATCCAACCCACCCTCTCTGTAAACATCTATCTACTAATTACGCATCTCAATTATACATTAATATTTATCATTCTATCTACGGTATAATAATGCACGCACCGTTGAAATATAAATTACAGACGCTACACAAGAAATAAATATAACTGATGTCAAACGTCTGACACCATTAGAAGTGGGTCAGTACAATAGTCTGGGATCATAAAAACCATACCCCCGGCCGGGATTGAACCCGCGGTCATAGAGTCTCAAAACTCCAGCCCGTCGCGTTAGCCATCTTGGGATCTTGATAAAGGGAATTCTACGCTTGCCTGACTTGTAGTTATGACCTACTTCCACTTGTAGATTTGTCCAAGATGACACCGCCTACTGCTGCTGCACCTCACCTGTCTGCAGTATATAAGCCGCCACTTCGCGCATATACTGTGCTCTTATCCTGGCTGATGGATTGATTACATCGACTCCAGACTGAGGGACTGATTAACTTAATCTCCTTCTGATCTTCACTATTCTTTTGTATCTGACTGATGAAGCCACTGTGTGGCGACACGTTTACACAATAAATATACCCAAGTGTTGCACAGGTGTTCTAATTTATCAACCTGTCGGTTCTCTGAACCAGTTACCTATATTGCATCTGGGACGTACAACGCTGCGTTGAGGAGATGCATCCGGTAAAGATTATAATATTTGATTGTTAGTTTGAGCGCAAAGTATACCTAGATGGAGAACAGGTTAGTTTTAGTTAAAAAGTCATTGAGAATGTCTGCAGCAATAATGGGATAGTCAGAGAGGATGATGGAAGTGTCATAACTGAAGTCGGCTGCTGCTAAGACACTAGACAGTTACTTGACAAATGTTGTACTATCCACACACCTTCACAAACCATACAAAAGGCGACCGGGCATTTCTCCATAAAGTGTCAATGTATTAGACTTTTGTGTTCGAAATGTAATCCCGAGAACATACATTTACAATACGAGATAACTACCTGACTGTTACTGACTCAAACCAACCCTGTTGCCAGCAATCTCGAAGATGTAGAATCAGTTAGGAGTACAAAAAAAGGGGGGGCCTGAACATACAACCCCTGTAAGAGACTTGTGAGGCGTGAACTGCACAACGAACAGGTGGGTTTGCAAGTTCCTTGCCCTGGGCATCAGAATGTACCGGAAGCAAGCAAAATACCCGTGTCTGCTGGAATCGCGATACAGCCATCGATGGTACGTGGGAAGTCAAACCTTTGCACCAGTTATAACGCACTTAAAGATCCTGCTGTTCAGCTTCTGGCTACTTACGTGTGATTTAACTTTGTTTACACTACATCTCGCTACTTCCTTCCCACATCTACATCAAAAATATTCAACATGTGTTGCATGAAGTCTCACCTGATTAAGACGGGAGCGAGACGTGACAGACACATCTTAACAGTCCAACCCCAATACTTCTTACCGACCGTCTGTTGCAAGATGAAGTTTATTTAGTTACCGGTACACATAAGTACATTATCTTACATTGTTTAACGTATGTGCAAAATAAACTAGAGGTGAAGCTTGGGGAAAACACGAGGGAAATGAAGAAATGGAATAAACTGAGGTAATGGCAGATAAAGAGGAAGTCGGACTTCATAAATTTAAGTCATCAGTTTTATTTCTGCCTACAAAGTGTCGCCCATATTTAACAGCTAGACAAAATTGACAAATTTCTGCTCAAACTTACGAATTTCTGAAAAATATGATTTAATATACAAGGACAGTACAAGCATGACACACTAGAATGTACAAGCATGACACACTAGAATGTACAAGCATGAACAACACTAGAATGTACAAGCATGACACACTAGAATGTACAAGCATGAACAACACTAGAATGTACAAGCATGA